ATCTGTTCTGAAGTCACCAGCATCACTAAAGAGCACAAACAAATTCTGGACCTCAGGTTTTATCTAACAATCCTGTTTTCTTTACAATGAGCATTAGTTTCAAAGAGTTGCTGGCATGACTGTAGACTTGTTCAGTTTGTTTACACCTGTTTGGTTCTTTATTAGGTTCAGGAATCAAACACCATATTCCACTGGGGACTGTGGATGTTAGAATGGCTATAAATTTTACTTTGGTATTTCACCAATTAATTAACTGTAGGAATGTTCACTGCCATAAGATGGAGCCAAAGTTACATGCTGGTGCCAAGTGGTGGTGGAAGAAGTAAGGTAAGGTAAGACATTATTGAGTACTCACATCCCTTAAATATTCAAGGACCTACATTTAGAGCCTGACTTAAATTAAAGTAATGAAGGATTATATGCAAAATTATTAATCCGAATCAGCAAATAAAGTGATCAAAAAACTGTAGCACACTACAACATTTGGCTCTGAACTGTATACAACAGCAGAAAAATGCTTGGCTCTGAACTGTATACAACAGCAGACAAATGCAAATACTCAGGTAAAGTACAAGTATCTCAAAATGAAGTAGTACATGTAGTTAGATCATTTCCAGCACAGGCCTGCACCAGAGTCAGTGAGGCAATAAGAAAAACATAAATAAACTTAATTTTCAAAAACACCCGACAAGCCTTGAAAACATTCTAAAAATATTTTCAATTAATCTCACATACAAACTACTTCAGAATCAGAATCAGCTTTATTGGGCAGGTGTATCGGACACACGAGGAATTTGACTCGGCTCTCAATGTGCATGTACATATCCCCATGTCAGGGGCAAGTAAACACTAAACCAGCATAAGGCTGAGTAGTATAACAAAATGAGCAGTATTAACAAGCAACAAACAGTGCAAACTATGCAAAATAAGCAGTATAAACAGGCAGTAAACAATTCAGACAGACAAAGGAATGCCCGCTGTGAAATGAGATAAATAGGGATAAAACAGAGTACTGAAAAACAGACCTGTACGGATCTGTATAATCTGTACAATATATATTTACAGGTATTGCACTGAGAGTTATTGTCCAGTCATACTGTTGTGGGTCAATGCATCGTACTTCAAGGAAGTGTTCATATAATTACTGACTGAAAATGACTGAGTTCATAGAAAGGTCATCAGTGCCTTCTCACTGCCGTCTTTTGTCACCTCTGATCGCTCCACTGAACTTGAAGTGCTATGTTTTAGCCTTCGTGAACCAACTGCCAGAGCTGTCATTTGGTTTTAGAGCCACTTCCTCCCTCCCTCTTTCTCACAGGCCGTCTTCCTCTCCTCTTTTCTTCCCTAATAGAGCGCCTGATTCCTTGCGTGAGAAGGTCCTATCAGGTCTGGCTGATTGTGATATTGGGTTACATTACTTTTCCTTAACCCTTAATCCCTCATTCAGACAAAGCAGCTAGCCTTTTCTTCAGGGACTGATAGGATTTCAGAACTGGACTTTGACAGTCTTTTAAAAAACAGTTACTGGTCTTGAGCATAAATTCCAAAAGCAAATCGGATTAGCATTAGGTGACTGCTCACTTTGACACGATTCTGATGATTTTATAAGGGGAAAAGCCCTCTAAACACAACACCAGTGGCTAACTGAGGACTCAAACAGGATGCATTAACCTCTTTGGTTCCAAAAATGTAATGTTCAATGTCTATAGCCCACAAGAGTACTACACTTGGACATGTCTATGTTGACAACAGTCATCAGTGTCACAAAACAATTACTGTACGAGTCAAAAAGGCTACAGGCCCAGGGGGCCAAGTGGACAGAGGGCCCCTAGGTTTCACCAGAAACAACCACAATGAGGCACAAAACAACAAACAAATGCAAAACCACCACAAAGTGACGCAGAGTAGCAAAACAACCACACAGAAATGAAACCCACTGCTAACATACAAAATTACCAAAGCCAAGCAAAACCAGAGATGGTGTCACTTCATATTCCACAAATTATTTTTAAGTTAACTTAAATATTAGTACAATTTTTTAAACTGCAAATGTGAAAGCCTCCACTTACATGGAGAGATGTAAACCTTTAACAGGAAACAGGAAGTATAGGCCTAGTGTTGCCATGGATTCATTTACACTGTGCATTATAATTTGAGCCCTGATTTTAGCCAATATTTGTTTACATTTTGGAAAATAATTATGCTGAATTCTCTGTTAGGAGTTCCCGTTTGCTATGTACCGCTAAATTTACAGTCAACCATCAATTCACTACTTTGAAAAAAATCTTGAAAATGAGATTCTCAAAGAAGTTCTGAAGTAATAAGGGGCATTTTTTTCCTGTGATTTATAAGCAGGCTTATGTGATAGATATCAAAGGTAACGATAACATCTGGAAGTATAAGTCACTGAATCTTTAAAGATGTGTGTCATGTCTGTGTGTTCACATTTGTGCGCGCTGAGGGTTTTAAAATGGCCTGCCTTAGTCGCCACCATGTGCTTCCTTTATTGCTGCATCTGTTGACAAGACAAGGCCAAGTTAAGAAACCTTGTAGCCCTAGGCTATCAGCATTTGAGACCCCTATTTGTAGTTTTAAAACAAAATGCATTTCAGCAGCTAACAACAGAGCGCTGCTAAGAATTACAGATAAACTTTACCACTGCTGTAAGTTGATGCCATAGTGTTTCCTATGGTAATGAATCAAGAACCCAGTGTGTAAAATGGATGCTGAATCATCAGACAGAGATCAATAGTGAATGTTAGGACATCACTCCTCTGAATTCATGTATTCATATACTCCAGAGATGCTTTGGGTAACTGGTCTTCCTCAGTGTGCAAACTAGCAGTAGTACTGCATCCAGGCACAGGTCAACTACAGAACAATCAAGTCCAACAATGCTGCCAATGCGGGGGATCATATCCCACACCGCAGACATACCAAGAAGGAGCTTGAGACAAACCACACAGGACATAGATCACAAAAGTCACATTACAATAAAAGGGCAAAGGTCATTACTGGCGTTTCTTAGACCACAAAGCCACAACTCACAATCTGACCATCAGCAAAAATGCATTGTATTGATAAGAAACACAAAAGGAAGCATGCACATGCTCACCCAGCACCACAGGAACCTGGAGGTACTGCCACAGGTCAGCATCAGCCAGCAGCAAATGCAACAATTGAGCCCAGCAAAGTCTTAAACTGTACAGTCTGAAAATATGAAGCTCACCTTTTTCTTGCTCCTCTTTGAAGAAAAATCTTCCAAGTGACAGTGGTTTGGATGTTGTTCGCACATTTCTGTCCTTTATCTATTTTTGATTAGGTCGAGTTTGACACAGCAGCTTCCTTGCTCACCCAAAAGGGCGTGACTCCTCTGTTATAGACCCCATAGAGGTATGTCTGTTGATGTTAAGGGTGACTTTATTCCCAGGATCTGTCTCTGTGTCTTGTATCTCTTGCTGTCCTCGGCGGGCCCTTCAGTGTCACCATGAATGTAGTGCAGGCGCTGCTAATGCTAACTGCTAATGCTAGCTGACTAGTTAGCAGTGCTGCTGTTAGCTAGGTTTCTCGTACCCGAGGGTGTCGCTCCACGGTTTGATTCGTTTTTGTTTTTATAATCATATGTTTTCTTGAGGTACGTTGTAATTTTTGGCCTTTCGTTAAGTGTTTGTCCACTTTCAGCTATCTTTAGCAAACGGTTAGTACGTTTCTGTGCGCCACCTGTGTTTACCAGGTTCATCTTGATGGCGTCACATACTAAACGAGAGAAAAGCTTCTTGATTTTTAATAAATGGAGACTATTACAATACATATCTTTATAGTCGTGTGATATTACAAAAATAAAGTAACAGGAAACATTTTATTGACCTTAAAATAATGAATTTAATATTTACATTAAAATAATAAGTAAATATAGCTCACTGCTGCCACCTTCTGGTGTGGCCCTCAGCGACAGTGTATGTAGCTACAGCGCACTGATTATGACACAAAGGGTCCCTGGGTACAGACAATGAAATGCTTTTGTCTCTTTGTGGTGTATTGTGGTTCCTGTAGGTGATTTGGTATCTCTGTTGTGGTATTATGGCCACAAAAGTGGGTTTTCTATCTCACTGGGATCATTTTGCATCTCTTAATAATGTTTTAGCTGAGTTGTGTGACTTTCAGAAAATACTAACATTCACTGCACACACGTTGGCCTGTTCAGTAATCCATTCCTGTAACCCGGTAACATTAACTGATTAACCCTATAAAACCATTCGTATCATATTTGATACGTGAGGTTTCTGAGCAAAAATAAAATCGCCAAAAATGCCCCATGTATCAAATGTGATACAAAAGAAATAAAAATAATCTAAATAATATGGCACCTCTATTCCTATATGCCTGGGCTGTCTGTCTATGCATATATGGCAAATAAAAATCGTGAATCTTGAATTTCGAATAATGAATTATATTTTGGATTTTGTTAAAAGGTTTAATAAACATCTCAGTTCCAAAAAAATTAGAATGTTCTGGCTATTTTTTGATATGCTGGGCTTTACAGGGTTAATTATATTACTGGGAATTATTGTTAGATAGCCTACTGCTGGGAATTACTGACAAAGATGTGATATAAATTCATGTACTCATGTAAAAGCATGGCTATAGACCCTTGATTTCATATCCAATCAAAGACACAGTTTTGTCCAGAAAGGCACTGAAGATGACTGAGGAGAATGTGTAGGCTAAACACAGACAGACTAGGGAGGCTGCTGGTGGTTACATAATGACTTGTGGGAACACATAACCTCAGGGGATCCATGATGTGGGAGCAGGAAGACTGGAACAAAAACATTAACTGTGCCATGTCCACAGATACAGATCCACACATAATAACACAAGCCACACTGGAACTGGTTCATAGTGGGCTTAACCTGACACCTGTTTGATACCGGAGGTCAACAGGTGACCCAGTTTGAATCAAGTCACACTATCATCACATGAAGGTAATCTTTCACCTGTGGCATGGGGATACAGGAGACCAACTGAGGGGTTACAATTCTTTAATGGTAAAATAAGTTAGATTGGTACCGAGTGGGTATATCTGTACACATGGAACACAAAGCAACTGCAAATGTAACATTACATTTAATTACAGAAGATGATGAATATGGTATTAATCTCCTACAGGCACTTCTTGACTGTAGGGGATTATGAATATGATTTGACTTGACAAACAAGTTCTTGTTTCATATGTCCGAGTTGGATACATGGTTTAAAATATACAAAATGTTTCTACAGTTCTGACTCTTCAGTTTAGACCCGATCACTTAGAGCATAAGAGCTGCCTTCTCTCCCACATCCATGTGCAAGTGTGTTATAACAAGTGAAAACACTAGAAATAATGAACTTACTACCATTTTCAAATGCATCTCTACACATCGTTATATACTGTAAGAGATGTATCAGGCTTGTGAGGCCACAAATTCACTAGAAAATTAAAATATAGTTTAGTATCATAAGTAGTATATAAACAAAATATAATGTAGTGTTTCACAAAATAGTATCACTTTATTTAAACCCCCATTTAGTGTTTATAAGCAATATCATTTAATAGCATTTGTAAAAAAAACAAACTGAATTGAGTCACAGAAGCTAAAGGAACAGAGACAAACTTGGATGTGACATCAGGACACATCCTCTAAACTCTGCTTAAAGAACCACACAGATACAAATGGCTAATGAGAAGCGGGTATGAATGTTTAGAGGACAACAGTGTCACAGACTCGTACAGTAGGAAGAGTTAAACTGAAGTGAAACAGTCCTTCTGCATATGGTTATTCCTCATACTCGGTTGTATTAGGCTCATTTTTTCCGTTCTCCACAGAAAAATCTATGTGCACTAAATCCTCTTGGTTCCTGCTTCCACTCTGCTGACAGGACACATTCTAGCAGCTTCAGCCACATATTGAACATGTGTAAAGAACTAACTGTTAGATAAGGTTGTTTGATTGGAGATACTCACATTATCAGCAAAAGTCTGACGCAGCAGTTTTTTTTAGTTTGAAAGCTTCGTATGTCTTCATGAGCCACAGACAACACATCAGCTGTATAAAAGATCCTAGCTATGTATTCCTCTGTCTGTAGGAATAGTCTCAGGCGTGTTTCCACTGGTGGCTTTCTGAGTTACTGATGCCAGCACAGCCATGAACGTCTGTCCGTCCAGTCAGTCTCACAGTGTGGTGCAGCAGCAGCTATGGTCTGGTGTTCTGGGGAAGGTCAACGCCATTCAGGGGCACAGTGTAGATCTGCAGAAAAGATGTAGAAAGATCTGATCATTGCCCTGAAAATTTAAACCACCATAGTTTAGATTGTCAGAGGTTAAGGCTCCAGTCAAGCTCCTAATGAGAATAGTTCCATTTCATTCTGTTTCTCCCTATTTTAACTCTTCTACTTCTGTGTTGGTCTTTTCTGCAAAAGTGAGTTTGACAGTGAACTGATTTAAAACCCAACCTTTGATTTCATCCCAGCATCAGCAGTTAATTTTAAGCTCAGTGATGTTTTCAGATCAAAATGCTACTTGGGAGCTGTAGCTCATCTCATACGCAGTCAGCCCTCCCAGACTTTTTTAACACAGTTGCCAACTTTTCAGGCCGTCCAAGTGCTTCAACTATCATTCCTTTGACATCGTCCATGCAGAACCTGAATAGGACTTCTACCTCCACAACTCTGGATGCCTAAAATTGCTACTCTTACTTTACTGGGCAGCAAATCATGACCATCTAGCCTAAAAGGCCAGTAATCCTGAAACCTGAGCCAAGCTTCAGTTATATTTACATTCTCAATCGTTGGACATTCAATTTCTGTTTCCCCCAGATGACCTCAAAAGCCTGACGGGTTCTAGCAACAGGATTATCTTACCCAAGCTTCACCGTTCCAGCAGAAGAATGACGACTGTAATGATAATTTTCAGGAGGATAATCTGATTGAGCTGCTCCCAGACCACAGCTGTCTCCACTCACATGACCAAAACTGATGTCTGTGCACGCAGCCATGTGAGTGCTGGAAACGGCTGATGGCATCATCCCCCGGCTGATGACTGAGAATGCTGTGTCTGGATGGGAGGGGGTGAAGGGTGGAGCATTTCTTGTCGTCCCTGTTGCATGTGTGTGTCCTCTGGAGCAGGTAGATCCCAGGAGAGGCCCTGTCTGGCTACTAGGAACCGCAGCAGGGCTCAGTATGGGGCCTTCTCTTTTATCATACATGCAGCTGTCAGATAATCCCTGTGTTTGTGTGTGAAACAACCAAGCAGATGAGTTCACGCTTCCTGGTGTCTGTGGGGAATGTGCAACTGAGTGATGGTGAAAACTCTGCGACATCTGTTGCTGCTGTCGTTTGCACACTGAGGGGCCCTGAAGCCGAGGCCCCGTGCACATCTGCTGTGAACCAGCATGGTTTAGCATGTCTTGCACACTTTGGCCCTTCAGCTCCAAACCAGACTGTTGGCTGCTGTGGATACTGCCGGTGACTTGTACAGATGGAAGCCAACAGTGATGCGTCAGGCAGGATTGTGTTGAAATGATTTGGTTTGCACACTGGTGACTGCTGCTGTCCTGGTGGGTGTCAGGACACTGTGCAGGCTTTGGCATGTGTGCCGCCCTATGAGAAGCACCGTTCAGTTCGGTCCAATCACCCAGAACATTTCCAGGCTGAGTCTGCTCTACACTCCTGTTAGACTGCACATCCGTCTGCGGCTGCTGCTGCAGCTCTTCGTTTGAAAACACAGGATGCTGTTCTTGAATAGACAAACTGCTGAATGTTGCAGAAACATGAGGTCCAGTCTGATCTGAACCATGAACATACCCACCGGTCTCTCTCCTCAAAGCCTCCTCCACATATGAGAAGACATCACTAGCCAGAATTTGATTAAGTTCCCTCGATGTGTCCTCCCGCTCTCTAGTCATCCCGACGAGTGTGTTCTCCCAGTTCCTCAGCTCTGTCTCCTCAACCTCGAGTCCCTCTATCCCTCCACCCCTGATATCTCCCAAAATCTGCTTCAACGAGTCAATCATGGCTTCAGATGTGAGGTCCCTGGTGATAGACGTCTTCTGTGAAGTCTGGATCTGACCCGGCCCAGTGAGCAGAGCGTGGCTGTCTAGGAATGCTTGCTCCAAGGACGGCTGGGGTTGTTCCAAATCAGGGTCCTCTATTTGGGAGCAGACTGGGAGCCGAGGACTGGGCTTCTGAGGCTGGGTGTAAAGGGAGTGGTCCTGCTGGAGAAGGGATCCCAGGAGTGAGGCGGGGTTCAGAGGTTTGTCTGTTGTGGGCTCAGCAGCGCCCAGAGCACTGGGGCCAGGAGGACCAGGGATGGAGAATGGATCCAGAGAAATGTCATACAGGACACCTTCACCAGTGGCGAGGTTAAAGGGAAGCTGCTGTCTTCTCTGATGTAAGTGCTCCTCTCCTTCTTCATTTCTACAAAAAAATTCAAATAAAAGGCAACAAGCAAAGGCTGATTATACAATCCAAAAATTTGAATACTCTGACAAAACATAACACAAGGAAGACTTGTAAAGTGGTTTAGTACATGTCAAATAAGAAATTACACCTCCTGAGCTGCTGCTGTTCATTACAGCTATGCGCTGATGCAGCCACCATGTTGGTACAGGGATGTGTATGAAGGCAGAAGGTCAAAATCACCACAACTCATTCAATTTATAGCCAATTTTCCAGTAGTTTGGTTTGTTACTGATGCCAGACGTCTGTTTATGATACAAGATACTTAGTTAAATTTAAAATGGTGTGGTATTAAACTGCACTTTCTGTTACCATGGTAACCACAGGTCCCAGGTGAAGCCACTGGGGAAGTGCCAAAACCTGCAGTTCCTCGAATGGCCACTAGACTGACTCTAAAGGGGAGTCCACCCCCATAGTCTCCCCTGTTAAATGAACAAAGAGTTTTTTTTTTAATAGCTTACCTGTCTAAATTATACTACAAGTTACGCATAATGAAGGGCTTGGCCACTTTGAGTGACAGACAGGGGGGGTCCCACCACTGGTGGCTACCTTCATTTTGCCCATTCAGCACACCTCAGCTCTATTCACACTCCGCCTCCGTCCATTTTTGGATTCGCCATCACAGGCAGAGTGAAGCACCACCAGTATGGCGGCGGCCAGACCTGAGCTTCATAACCACTCTTCAGAAAACCAGTGGGTGACGTCACGGTGGGTTTGTCCAGCTTTTATATACAGTCAGTGGTGTCAATGCAAAGCAACCGGGACTGAAATTTAAAAGATCCTGATGCTTACGTGAGTGCTTTCTGAAAAGAGATAACGAAGTCTGGTCTCCCTGCTTTGAAGATTATCCTAGCAGAGGCCTGAACCCACTGCCACTGTCCTGTTTTGGTCAGCAGCCTGAAGAATGTGAAGCCACTCTCTCCAGTCTTAATCACTGATGACAGAGCAGGTGAACACAAAGCTGACAAAAGACTGGCAATAATTTAAGTGTATGAATAAGACAGAGAAGCTACAGTAAATGAAGGTAGTCAGGTTAATAACAGCATGAGATCTGTCTTGTAGAATAACTCACTCCTGAGGTGGCTGTCAGCACAATGCATCATGTCAGCAGCATGAATGAACCGATAACCAGAGCCTATTGTGACCAGATCTCTCACTGTATAACCCAAAACCAGCCTCCCTCTGAAAGGAAAACACACACACAGAATGTCAGAGGCAGAAACGGAATCATTTCACTTTCTGGTTCAATCTCTATCCTGACAGTCAACAGAGACAGTCAGGCGTGAAAAATGTCTAAGACCTACCTGGTGTCTATGCCCACAGGAGCAAAGTCCATTCTGTGTTTTGTCTGGAACAAGAGGGTCTCAGTGTGGATCTCTGTGACTAAAAGAGGGTGCAGAGGTGTGGCAACAGCAAACAGAGCGAGCTGGGGAGGAGCCACATTCCCATCAGGTCTGGCATTTCCCTGCAAATCCAGGAACTTCAGACGTCCATTGAAGTTTAGAGTCTGTAGTGGACGAGACACGGTTACACTGAGGCATGTAGTTACACAAACAAACCTATCAAGTATGTATCAGTGGGACTGTTAGCCATACTAGCAGTGGAGCCTCAGCGCTTGTCAGTCAATCCACCAGAGTAAAATATCTCGACTGCTGATGGATGGATTGCCATAAAAACTTGACATTCATGAGGAACTATTCTTATGACGTATTCGAGCCCGATTTTATCTCTAGTGCCACAATAATGTTTGTGGTTTTGCGCAAGGGCGTAATTTCCAGTTCAAGTGCAACTATTTCACTTCATTTTATTCCTGTCCCCCTGACTTTTATAGTTTCCAACTGATTTTCAGGTTCAGTTTCAGGAAGGTCTCTCTGAACTGGTTCTTTTACTGCCCGGCCACCAAAGTCCAGAAGATCTTCAGCTGTTGCTGTGCAGCAACATGGTGCTATGAGTCCTCTTCCACCTGTTTTGCTAACACTCTTGTCTCTCAGGCTAAATCCATGGTGCCTTACTGTGGTGGTTAAAGACATTCCCATCAGCCTCAGCTCTATTTTGTGCTAACAGGCTAAACTAAGACAGTAAAAATTTAGCTCAAAGCACCTCGGTATCAATGTACTGCCTATGAGAGCTGCTAGCATGGCTTGTTCAACAAATGCTTTGATTGTCCTACCAGGAATCCAGAGTTGTGGTCCAGGAGGCAGCGGAAGCGACAGCAGAAGCTTCTTTCCGGGAAAGAGGAGATCTCTGGAGGGATGTACAGAGGCAACATGTTCTGAGAACTGCTTGAAGCTTTGCTGCTGGATGGCCCATCTGCAGGGGAACGATATTCATCTTAGAAAAGTTTCTGTACTGTATCCACCACATCTGCCTTCTATATTTGGACAGGTACTTTTCCACATAACACCAACTCTGTACCTGTCTGTAGAATCTGATTGGTACACAGACATTTACATTACTTACATCATAAAAAATGTCAATTAGAGCTGCACCTAACAATTATTTCCATTTTTTATCTCCAAAAAGTTTCTCATTCGTCTATAAAATGTCAGAGAATTCACTGATGTTTTCAGGCTCTCCATGGGGATGTTGTGTTGTTTTGAAAACACAGAAAATCTCCAGCCTTATCCTTTAAGCAATGACTCACTGATGAGTAAGGTCTTGTACCTCCTGCTTTGACATCCGATTCACTCTCGCTGGGGTTGAGGGCAAAGTGGAGCTGACACCTGAACGTCTCTCTGTCGTCCATGTGGATGAGCTCATACACACTCCGGTGCATCACATCAGACTGTCGACAGACAGAGTTCACATTTAACCTTTCATTAGAACAACACACACTGCGGCATTCACACTCTGTTAAGTGTCAGAGTTTAACCTGATGGAAGCCCAAGAAGTCCTGGATCATCGGGGACGAATAGAAGATTGTGCCATCAGTCGTCACAACCAACACAAAACCATTCAGAGCCTAAAGACATTATGGAAACACACATAAATCCCACGAACAGTGGTGCAGACAAGTAATCCTACTGTACGTTTTGTTTCTGTACCTGCAGCAGGAACTCTCCCTCAGAGAAACTGACTCCATCCAGCGACACAGACTGCCCATTTCTGCCATTTGCTGTGACAAGGGGAGCTGATCTCGCATTTTTCTGGAGCATCGCTGCAATATCCAAAAAGAGCAAATGGTTCAGTCAGAAAACAAGTTGGCTACTCGCACACAGATCACTGAGATTTATAGCAAGCACAGAGTAATATATCAATGTCATGAAGCTCAGAGATGGAATGTAACTAAGTACATTTACACCTTACGCTTCACTGGGGGCAAATATTGTACTTTTATCAAGTGCGTTTCTACGGCATTTGCTGTGTGGTCTGTGTCTTTGCTGCATCCCTGCTGATGTCTCTCTGGTTTATTTATTTGTGCAGCCAACAAAGCAGAAAATCAGAAAATGTGTTTTTATGTGTACACATCTGCACAGTATCCAATTATTTGTGCAAGAAAAACACATGCACCCAGAATCAGCAGTGGAGAGGTTCCCCAAAATTAGCAAGAGATGCTGTATCTGCAGAAACGCTGAAAACTCAGCCGTCCAGAAACTCAACACGGGTCCTGTTTCCTGTGGTCAACGGGACAGAACAGTACTTTCCATCTGTGCTAAAAAGAAGAGATTTTAAAGTTTTGGCCAAATCTGTAATCTAATCTGTGATGGCCGGCATTCACTCAGCCAAGCGATACCTCTTTTCCTTTTCTCACACTAATGACTGGCACACTAACAAACTTCCCTCCCCTCTCTCCTCCGTCCTTTTTTAAAACAAACCCACTCGACCTGCCTCGAGTCTCCCCTCCACAAACCCATGAATTCTGCCATGACATCTCAGTGATGAGCGGCTTTCTACAAGCTCAGATGACTGACTGAAAGAACCCTGAGTTTGTTATTGCAGCAGGAACATGGCATCAAGTGTTGAGCTCAGCGTGACACTGAGAAACTGAACACAATGTGCAAGAAATGAGGACGACTAAACAAACAGGACAGTTTTACTGAAAGGCTGAACATGAATGTTTGACCTGAGTCTGTAACCTGGCCTCCCCACTCCACTTCACTCCTGCCGTTTCCCTCCTCCCTTCTGTAGGTGTGGGGTGCTGTACCCCTTCAGACTTTGGAAAGTGGAGTTTACAGCCATGCTAGAGGTTCCCTGAGGCCGCACATGGGTACGTTAATGCCTCGATGCCCCATGAGTCACTGCTTTACAATCAAATATGTCCAAATTAAGTAAAAGAGCTGCAGTCGGGCCTCAGTATCTTTGGGTTATGATGAGCTTTATCTTGGAGAAAAATCAGCTGGGGTGTTAATGACAACAGCCACCTCACTGCAACCTTGTTCATGAACCGCCAGCTTGCCAGCCAAATTGGCTGCCCCCTCCATTCACCATGGCAACCCCAACACCTGGCGGTGGCAGCAGCATCACCTGGGACTCATTCAGAGCAGGAAACAACAGACGAGTCTGTGCAACAGAGTCAGTGGAGGAGGAAGTACCCAGACTGAATGAAGCAAAAGTAGCAGTGCCACAGTCTGAAAACAAAAATTAAAAGTCATCAATTATGGAAAACTAACAACTACTTTCATTTCACTATCGTCTTCCAGTCATTTTGGCTATTAACTGATTAATCATTGTGCCATTATGCATACTCTCATTTCCCAAAGCCAAAGGTTACGTAACATTAAACCAGACAACAGCTGGACGAACATCAAACCTGGGAGGAGATAACGTGTTCACGGTGTGATGTATGATGACACAACACGCTGATGGAGATATAGTCTTCATCTGATAGGCCCTCCCCCAGCTCCTCTTCATCATTTTCCACTGTTACGTCTCTACTTTATCAGACTCATCCCACTCCTATGAGATTTTACAGATCAACTCACCCTTCCTTTTTAAATCGTCTTATACATCTTCACTTCCAGGACAATCTCCAGTCAGACGTTAGCTAGTCTGAGGGTTGTGTGATAAATAATCGCTCAGCTACTGTGAAGATGCAGTGGGAACGAGTGTGTGACGTCTTCAAATGTCTCCATTCAAAAACACTCCCAACAAGAGCCCTCACGTGGCGCTGCTGACCCTCCTCCCTCTGCAGCGCCCCACTGCTCCATCAGCAGCAGCGATCAGCCGGCTGATAGCAGAGCCACAGAGGCACAAAGAGGGACAAAGACAGCGATCAGCCGGCTGATAGCAGAGCCGCAGAGGCACAAAGAGGGACAAAAGCTTGTTGGACTCTGCTGCTGTTTGAACGTCAGAACCTCACTGGCTACTTGTAGTTTTGTTAGAATCAAGCACATGTTCTGGTTAGGAAGTGGCAGCACCGTGCATTGATCCGGTTTGACAGTAAACATATCATTTAAACTGTGCACACAAATAATTAAAGTGGAAGTGTGGACACTTTGTCTGTGAGAGCAGAAGCTTATTGTCTTCTGTGGCTCTGCAGGAGCTTCGAGAAATCCAAGATATCTCAGTTTAGGGTTGTGCTATGTTCACGTCCTATGGAGTGGATGGAACAGACAGGAAAGATTCACATGTCAGTGAATTGCAGCAAAAAATGGTGGAGCAACAGCTACTTTGGACAAATGCAAGACCAAAAAATACCACAAATGTACACGTTCACGTGTTGCACACAGTTTAACACAGGTAATAATCCGACTGAGCACGCGCCTCTTCTCCTCAAGTTGCTGTTAAGCTGCTCAGTTCACCACTGTATGTGCTGTTAATTCACAAAGCTGTGTGCACTGCAGAGGAGGATCAATTTTACCGTGTTGCCCAACACACACAGAAAGCATTTCTGCCGTGTTTTTTCAGTCGTCCATCTCACACACCTCTGATGGAGTTGATACGCTCCTCTGGCTATCACACAGGCAACATAACAGCATAATGATTTCACTTGTGATACACACATGTGAACCTGAGGCATATTTTATCACTTCAAATGTGTTTTCCTGTGTTTTACATGCATAACCACTGTTAGTGTGTTTTGGGCTCTGAGCACTTCCAAATACCACCATGATCAAGAAACACAAAGTTCCAAGTGTGTGCCAAAGGAGGGAGCACTGACTTATAGGCCACACCTTCGCACATGCCACAGAACTCTTAGGTTTGTGAAACACAAAGTAACAGTGCATTAAACTGTACTTGCACATACCCGCTACACTCTGCTCCTGCACGTCAAATACAGTATTTTCACACACACACCGTCTCTCACTTTCAAAATTTCAGAAACAGGTTTCATGTGACCTTCTCTGTGTAACCTTCACTCTTAATTACCAAAGCTAGTGTGTGTGAACTCACAAACTGAGGTAAATATTACTGACCATGGAAGTAACTCTTAACCTTGAGGTATCCCACGCTGAGCCGGAGCACCGACAGTTTGTCCAGGTGACCTCGGACCTCCTCAGGGAACGGTAGCAAGCTGCTCAAACTGTCCAGCTCTACATTCAGACGGTCTCTGTGGCGTTTGGACGGACTGGTCTTCACTAGTGGAGGCTTCGCACTGAAACGAGACAAAAGAATATGTCCAATGACACAGCTTGACAATCTACAGCTCACAGTGGAATTTCCATCTAGAGTTTGAGCGGGTGTTTCAGGTGCAAGGTACATTTCTCAGATCCTGTAACAAACTGATAGGGGACATGTGAACGTCTGTATGCATGGATGTAGGAGACGTGTGTCTCACGGACATACTCATGATTCCTGTTCATAAAAACAGTACATCTGTTAAAATATCCACTGCTGAATTAGTAAGAGACAACATCAGTTACCACCCAAATAAACTCTGAACCATCTGTTAAAATATCCACTACTGAATTAGTAAGAGACAACATCAGTTGCCACCCAAATAAACTCTGAACCACATCAAATGAAACTTCAACTTCCTGGTTTTTAGAGCCAGCAGGGGCTGAAAGTGTTGTTCATACTTTTATAATTACAAGACTGGAAACACAAGTTTCCTGTTAATAAACAACTGGAGATGTGCATGCAGCTTTGGAGTAGTAAACCGTTTCCACAATATGATAACTTGTATATGGACAGTTTCCTGATTTAAAATGTCTCACATTTACACAGATTTCTATATTAAACTTAGTTAAACTTATTAATGATCTCATGACCCCTCAGATTTATCTCGGACATGCTGCGGCCATGTGTGCCATCCCTCCATGTAAGAGACTCAGATAGAGAAGACAGAACGGAGCAGCCTGTTAAAGACATTCAAGGCCCCCTGTTTAGTTTCCATCCAGCAGTGTGAAGTCCTTACAACTGTAACAAACAGTGAATACACCCTCACTCTTATAAAACAACTGCTAAGTCCACATTTTGTTTACATCCACTTGTAACCCTTGATCTTCTTTCTATGTCATCTGTGGCTGTAAATTAATATCTTGGGGTTTTGAACTACTGGTCGAACAAAACAAACAGTATTCAGGGTAATGTTGTGACATAGTTTTTAATAGCTACTCGTGACGTCATTTCCGTTGCATGGCTGCAGGTGAACTACCTACCTGTTCAGAAGTTATAAACCACACAAGTAAAGCTAAAATAACCCCGTGCCTTGGTGCGAACACCTGATCATCACTATAATAATAATAGTAATAATAATAATAATGATAATTACAATAATACGTATTGTGATCGTGAGGTTTGACCCAACGTCAGTGCCCACGCACTTCAGGTATACTGGGCTATTTCATAGACTGAGGTGAAATTAAAAATATCACCTTTGTAAACATTAAAACGTACTTTTTCTGGACGGGCTTCTTCCTCCTCTTCACTGCGTATCCTCCACCGGTCCCCAGCATGTTGTCGCTCAGGTTTCAGACGAGGATAAGAGTTTTCTTTTCCTGCTGCCAAGATCCGGTAGAAGTCTGAACTGCACGTTCAGACCCAAACGACAAATAATCCAAATATGTTGTCAGACAGTGTTTTGCAGCAACACTTTCGGTCACAGTTAAAAAGTGACAAACTTTCCAAGGGAAGTTCAGCGGCACTCACACCGCAGCCAGCCCTTGGTCTGTGCGTCCTCTCCGGCTTCAGCCCCCCGAGCATCAGAGCACCCCCGGCCCAGAGGTTAGTACTGGTGTGAACCGTCCTCCGTGCGTCTTCCGTGTCGTCAGCTGTGAAACACATTCTGTTCACAGGTGTAATTCTGCCCCCGTGTGGAGCTGTAAAGTATCACAAGCCAAAAGCAGCAGCGCAACTTTCAGCTTCTTCTTCGTTTATTTAATGGCAGTTGGCGACTTCCGGATCGGAAGTATGGCCACATTACCTACTACTATAATAAAATAATCTCACTGACTTTACGATATATTACTGTACTCAGTAGCTAGCCTGACTCTATCCAAAGGTTAAAAACATATTAACAGATTAATAATAATAATTAAAAATTATATAATATCACACATTTTGCTGCATGCTGTGTACCTTTACTTTTGATATTTATAGTAGCCTCTCTAATGTCACTTAAGGGTTTAATGCAGTAAAGAAGTTACTATTTTTATATTGTTGCATTTCTATTTTTACTCAAGTAAATAGTCTTAATTCTTTTACTGCTTCTACCACTCCATATTAATCAGGTAATTACTTCAGTCAAATACATGTAGTGTAGTAAAAAGTCTGTCTGAACTGTAAAACTGGAGTAGTAGTATAAAGTGGAATAGATGGAAATATTTAAAGACAAGTACCTAAAATTTGAGATGAGGTAAAGTGCATGAGGAACTGTTACATTCCACCAGTGTCAATAAAACAAAACTGAGTTTTTCATGTTTTTTTAATTTTTTAATTTTTAATTATCAAACATTGTATATTACATCCAACCAAAATACACGATTTTTATAAATTTAGCAGTAAAAGATTTTATGCAATTTTTTGACCAGCTACAGTTTCTTATACAACAGCACCTCGATCTTGGCTTTTGTAAGTAATAATAATAATTATAAAAAATTAAAATTAAAATTCATGCTTGTTAAAGGCACTGACCGTTGTCTTTACAGTTTAAGGGCAAAAATTAGGTAAGATTTCCCCCCATTGTATTTAGATAAATGGAACCAGAGACTCAAATTGGATTCTAGGTTGTTTTTAGACTGATTTAGTGTTTGACTCCAAACACCAGAGGTTTTGGTTTTTCCCAGGGGAACTCCTTTCTGCCAAAGTGACCGTAGCAGGCAGTGTCTTGGTAAATTGGCTGCTTCAAACCCAGCTCTCTGTAAAAGAAACAGTCAATATAACACTGTTGCATTTACAGTAAAAGATGTTTCAGGTTTGCAGTTGTGAAAAACTACACATACTTCACAATGACTCCAGGCCTCAGGTCAAAGTTCTTCTGTACTATCTGCAGGAGCTCATCTTCATCCCTGTCCGATGTGCCGTAGTGAAACACTGAGATGGACAGAGGGCGGCTTATACCAATGGAATAGGAGATCTAAAACACAGAGACATGACACTGGGGCTCTCAGTCTCCAGAGACAGATTTCTGGCGAATGTGTGCTCGTGCTGGGGGTAGAAACAGGCCGGTGTGACTGAAGGTTTACATGAAGGTCAATAAGAAGAGTTAGTTTTGTGCAATAAACTGCACAAATTACAAAGTAACTGGAGGGAAATGTCCAAACTTCCTCTTCACCTCAGAGTGAAATATTAGCTATTTGAACAGCAAAAACATGAGCTGAAATTAAAGCTCCATGAAGCAAACTGAAGATAACTGAAGTGGTTGTTACCATTTCTTATTGGATCAATCAACTGACTTGAAAAAGACACAATACAAACACAGAGACAAAACCACTGCAAAGACTCACAAAACACAAACTAACAAAGGCAGTGATTTAAAAAAATATGCTAAATTATCACAAAACTACACTACATTACAAATTAATGCAGAATTACCACAAAGTGACGCAAAACAACCACATCCAAGTAGTCACAAAAACACTTCGAAGACACAAAATGAGTACAGACAGGCACAAAATGACCACAAAGACTCAAATCAACTACAAAAGATACAAAACAACCACATAGAAACACAAAACTACTACAGAGGAACAACAGAGTGAAAAAAGGCACAACAAAGACTTTCATCACAAAATACTATTAAAAACATGCACAACTGTTACATAGAGACACAAAATGACAAAGAAAAATGGCTGCTGTGATTTATAGACATTTTGTGTCTCTTTCAGTCTGGGGGCCCACATCATCTTGCACACACGATGGCAACAGGAACCAGAGGCGTCTTTGGGCTGTGAACTGTGAATGTCCTCACCTGAACCAGGGCTCGCCTGCACAGCCCGGCTTTGACCAGAGACTTGGCGACCCAGCGTGCTGCATATGCTCCGGACCGATCCACCTTGGAGTAGTCTTTTCCAGAGAAAGCCCCTCCTCCGTGTCCGCCCCATCCTCCATAGGTGTCCACTATGATTTTACGCCCTGTGAGTCCCGCATCACTCTGGTGGCAGAGAATGTCAGTCAGCTCACATGTGCCCACACTCAACCAATCTCTCTGTGTGGTTTCTAACCTGCGGGCCTCCATTAAGGAACTTTCCACTGGGCAGCAGATGGTAGATGGTCTTGTCATCCAAGTACTTGGCAGGAATGATGAGCTTCACCACCTTCTCCATCAGGTTGTGTCTGATCTCCTCCAGCGTAATGTCAGGGCTGTGTTGCACTGAGATGACCACCGTGTGCACACGCTGCGGCTCCATGGCTCCCATGTTGTCTTTATACTCCACCGTGACCTGCAGATGAGACAGCACCAAGTTAAGATCAAACTCTTAACTCATGACTTATACCATGGTGAACTGTTCCAAGTATTTACCTTTGAGCTGACAGTAGATGAGAGATTCGATCAGGACAGGCTCACCCCGTGTTAAAGCCCTAAACCTGGGTCTGAACCATGGGCTTAGTTTTTTTGATACTGTTCAGTGGACGGCCAACACCTACATGCTGTCAGTTATTTCTTTTTTCAATTTCTAATTGATACATAACCTGCTTTAGAATTGTACCTGGTGCCAGATGTTACTTTTCCCATTAGTGCTACTAGGAGCTAATACTACTGTAAAACACATTTAGCAAAAATGTGTTTGTTTACACAAATTTTTGTGCTGAACTAGTCAAGTCAGGTCAGTTTTTATGCCCCTGTGCCGTGAACGCAGCAGTCAGAGGCATTGTGTTTTCAGGATGTCGGTTCATCTCACTCTGGGGATGGTGATATCTCAGGAATTCTTTGAGGGGATTTCTTCAAATTTGGCAGAAATGTCCACTTAAACTCAAGGATGAACTAGTTTTGGTGGCCAAAGGTCAAGGTCGCAGTGACCTCACCTCTCCCACTCCTGTGACTTTGACTGGTTGGTGGAGTCAGTAATTCTAGTTATTTATGTAGCCAAGTCTCACAACCTTACCCCCCGAAGTCCTTACACCCTCAAATCAGATTTTAAAAAATGGAAGAAACCCCAGGAAGAGAAACAGAGGAGGGGTCCTTCTTGCAGGACAAACAGATGAGTGTGCAGAATAGACAATCATGGCGACATTACTAAATATGAAGATCATGATCCAGGAGGATTCTGAGCGACCTCCATACGCCGCCAACAGATCGGATCTATAATGTGTTATCTAAACACAATAATGACTTGTTTCATTTCAGACTGCTGTTGTTACTGTTGCCTCCTATCAGCACACTGTTATCTGCAGTGGATAGTTAATGATAGTTAAACTGTGCAAAGGGTTGGATTTGGCCCACGGGCCGCTACTATAGTCCCACTTTACCAAACAGCCACACAGACACATTTCTTAAGTACCTTTAAGTTGTTTTTCTGATTTCATTAAACAGGAAATGAAGGGAGTTGGAGAATATCTTGCAACAAAGGCCAGAGTCAGACTGGGAACGTTGTGGTTCACAGTCTGAGCTCTGAAGTGGATCACCTGTGACTTGGAGTCGGGTCGTATCCATGGACACTCTCCGTTGAGTGACAGCTCCTTCATCCTGTAGTTGAGCTTGTGAGCCAGAAGGATGGTTAGAGGCATACACTCCTCGGTCTCATCTGTGGCGTAGCCAAACATCAGACCCTGGAAGGATGAGCAGCTCCATAAGGACAGAAACAGTCATGTGATCGCGTGCAGACGTGTCAAAAGCATAGATTAAATTCAAATCTTTAAACTGAAGTTCTTGCAACCGTTTCCAAAAACACCTGAAAATATTTAGAGAGCCTTGAATATGTTGTCACACGTTCATGTACTGCGTTAATAATGAGAGGATTTGTCCTACTGGCCTTCTTTATCCACTGTTCAACTGTTTTGAGTTTTTTTAAGTTCAGGAAATAAAACCTAGCAGTGACACGGCACCTTTAGAAGAGTCATCGTATCCGATTTTCTTCACGGTGTTTCGGACCACTGACTGGAGATCCACTATGGCCTTGGAGGTCACTTCTCCAATCAGTAAAATCATCCCCGTCTTCGTCACACATTCTGCAACAAGACGTTTCATAAACCAAGATGAATCAGACACTTGTGTTTTTTTTTCATGACCAAGTCGAAGCAGCTTCATAGAGAATAAATAAAAAATGGTGCTATTCAGTATTTGTTATATTAATGAGGTATTTTATTTATACTTGTATCAGTTCTTTGTTATTCTTCCTTATTCAGCTGATTTATTTTACATGGAGCATCAACATTTGCTTTATTTTGATTTGTTACATGTTCTTCATTGAGTTGCTGGAATATCCTGTCTTATGTCACCTCATGTTTTCTTTACCTTTTAGAAAACCTGCTGAAAAATGTGAATTACAAAGAAAAAGTTGTAATAAGAGCGGACAAGGAGGATTTCTATAGAAACCAGAATGACATTTACTGTTAAAGGTCGCGTTGGCGATTCCTTCCAGAAGTATTTTTTGTTAAATATCTTGAATTTCTCTTTTCATCCAGATGATAATTAATACAAAAACTGCACTGACAACATAAAGAAAAACATCCATCACATGTGGAAAACACCTGACCAATAATTTTACTCGTCCCAGGCAAAACCATTGGACGGCCCACCTGCCTGTAACCTACTTCCTACCTGGGCGCCCCCCCATCCTTACATGAGCCAAGAGTCTCCCACGCGGTGTCACGGTTGCAGGCAGACGTGTGACTGCTCTTTTTATAGCTAAAGCTAGTGAGCAACAGCAGCTTTGGTTCACAAACAGAGATCGATGTCACAGGCCAGACCTTCCCCTTTCAGTCACATGTTCTTATGGGTAATGTTGGTGTTGTCACCAGTAATTACGACCTGCAGTGTGAGAGCGAGAAGACATGGAACAGACTGCTTTTACATGGCAGCCAAACAGTAGTCAGCTCTAAGTGTATAGACAGGAGTGGAATGCAGTTAGCTGGGCACCAAAGGCCACATGCAGCATTCATTTTACCAAAGACAGAGTTAGCCGCCTTCCTCTTCACTTGTCCTCGCCGGAAAAGCCCGAACGTCTAAGGCTAGCTAATGGTTACGAGCCAGTGCTAAAGCAGCTTAGCCATGAACCAGAGGTCTATAACTCAGTTCAGGGCTGCAGGTCTGGGCGGGTAACACCATACTGGAGAAAGTTATAACTTAAAAGAAGTTGGATGCTGCAAGAAGTAAAACCAGAATTAACGTTAGTGTGGCTTTTGAACAACGGCGACAACTGAAAGAACAAAAGGGACTGAACAGTGACGCCATGGCAGCCATGTTTCTGCTGGACAGGTCATTATCACTTTGGTTTTGTTTGGGGGCATTTGTTATTTTCCTGACATCTGTAGTAGTGTGGTGGGTTTTAGAGGAGCGGCTTTGGAGAGAAGTCAGAACAAAAAGGTGGGACTTCTTCTGTTGTCTACTTTCAGACTGTTTTTTCCAGGATCCCCAGCCCTACCTCTAACTGAGATGCTTCAGACAGAGCTGAAAACATGACGAGACACAAGGCAGCAAATTCTGAACTTTGATCTAAAAGGCAAACACTGGTCCAGTCTGAGACATATGGCTGTTTAATTATTAATTATCAAATACCTTTGATCCTGGATTCAAACAAGTACAGTTGCCTGTACTATTTTGACACCTGCTACAGTTATATTTGAATTTTCTCTTGCAGACGTTTGTGGAAATTCAGCAAAAATTGGTCTTAAATTTGAAACATGACTAATGAGAGTAATAATAGTATCATAAGTCAGAAACTCACCACAGGCCACTTTAGAGTCAGGGTCTTGGCTCAACGACGCGTCGAGTACGGCATCACTTATCTGATCACACATTTTATCTGTGGACCAAAAGTCAGAGATGTAAAAGAAAAGAACAGGCAGCGCAGTGTTTCTGTTTGCACCGATCATTAACAGTGTCAACAGGGTTGTAGTCACCACTGAGGACGTGTCGATTGTTGTGTCTGGACACTGGAGGCTTTCACACTCTTGGATAAACCTAAAGTCTACAGTTACGTTACAAACATTTAGACAAATGCCAGTATTTTTAGTCAGCATATTTAAATTTGGCCACTTTTAGGCCAATAAAATATAACAATAAGATAATAACAGTCACATTTACTGGGGGTAAGTGGAAAATACCTTAACATTTAAAACAAAAACATTTAACTTTATGCAGGAAAACACGTCACCTCAAGAGGAACTGCCCTGAATAAACTACTCAGTTTAAAGGAGCATTTTGTGAAATACCCTTCCACTGACTTAAAGGGCATTTTTCACCTTTTCTGACATTTCGTACACTGAACAGTCACCTGATTATTAAACTGTCAGATAATGAAAACAATCACTGGTTGCAGCCTTAGAGTTTAGCTCGGACCTAACTAGAGTTCCTACTATATGGATGACGAAGACTCGTCAGTCTGAACAAATCTGTGATTAATCAAATTACATAGACCCTAATGATATGGAGTGAACGTGGGGGTGTGGGGTCCCTGGTGGTCCAGCACTGACAGGGAACGTTTTACTTGTACTCTTAAATACTTCCAGTACATTTTCCTGATAATACTTAAGCACTTTTACTTAAAGCAATGGAGCATTTTTGCAGTGTGGAACAAGAACTTAACAGTTCTACTCAAGTCGTATTTTCAATACAGATTGTGTAGCTGTAATAAGCTGCAAATGATTTTGATTATCCATGTATCTGTTAATTATTTTCTCAATTAAATCATTAATTAATTTCTTTTATAAATTCACAAAATTGGGGAAAATAATGTCCATCATAATTTCCCAAAGTTCAGGGTGACATCTGGAAACATGTTTTGTCCAAAATCCAAAGAGATTCAGTTTATTATCATATAAAACTAAGACACAAAACTCCTCAGAGACTTGTAACATTTTCCTTAAAAATGACTGAAAACTAACAACCAGTTATCCAAACAGCTGTGGAGCCATTTCCCTTTGAGAATCACATCAGCTCTACTTATGGGGGCGACGTTTTGGTAGAGTCACTAGATAAAGGCTCCACTTCTTCCAGCACCGAGGGGTTAATGGGACCAGTAACGACCTCGGTGTTTCTAAAATCCCAGCTATGAAACCAGTGAATTGTGTTAAAACAGAAAACCTGCACGTCCACACAGCCTGTCAATGCACAACAACACACACAACACAGCTACACGGTCGAACATGGAGACTGTACCCGAGTGTCCTTCTCCAACAGACTCGGATGTGAACAGGAACGTCTTCCCGCTGCGGGCCCCGCCGCTCGGGTTCATCTTCAGCCGTCGGTCGGTACCGGAAGTCGGACTGAACGGACCTGCGGCCGGCTCCACGTCTTCTCTGACGTTCACACTGATTACACCCGGCAATCATTAACTCCGAAGGGTTTTTCCTTTTACTCTTTTTTAAATTAAAGCTTTATTATTTCAGAGAGCAGACAGAACAGAGCAGAAGGAAAACATTAACCTGAACAACAGATAATGAAGAAAACAGAGCCCGATAAATAACTTAAAGTCGAGAGTAAACCTCACACAAGTGTATTATTTTAACAGGTTTGCCTTTTTTTAAGTTTAATACTTTCCAAGTATCTATTAAAGTCATTTATCAAAACAACAGTTACACGTATGAATGTAATATTTAACAATT